TGGACAAAACTTTATTTTATTTTATTAAAAGTACTTTACTAAGAAATATGACTTTTTATATGTGAAAGACTTGTAATATTAACTGAAAGACTGCCAAATGTTGTAAAGGTATACCCAATATATAGAGAGTTATAAGTATTAAATTGATGTCAACTTTAAATGAGTACAGAAGGTCACGCGACTCGGTCAAATTGACCGATTCTGTGTCGAAAGAGTTAAAGGTTTCTTAAGGGTATGAGGATGTTTCGTAGTGAGAACATAGAGGAAAATTAGGTGGAGTTTAAGTCCAGTCCTGGTAGAAACTCCCATGTGTTCCTAAGTGTGTATTTGTACATGGTGAGAAGTCTTGCTCATGTAGGTGGCTTTCCAGCTAACATATGTATATTTGAACTTTGAACAAGAGTGAAGGTAAAATATCTTCAGTTCTAAAAAAGTTACTGATATGAAGTGATGATTTGAAGACAATATGAAGTTTAATCTGGGGGTATAAAGTTTATTGAGTTGGGTTTCAACAATAAGGTAAAGAATAAAAAGTGTTAAAAGAAATTTGGAATATATTTACATATTATTTAGTGAAGTGTTTTTTTCTTAGTAAGAAAGTTGCATGTTTTCAAGTAAAGATTAAGTATACCTATTTTATCTTAAAGTGTTTTGATTTCATTATGAATACAGATGTAATCTAAGCAGGTTGAGTAGGCCCCTATGAAGAAGAGTTAAAACTAAGTTTAATTTGAATGATTTTGGCAAAAAAAACTTTCAAACCATTTGTACAAACCTGTGAAAGTTTTTCTTTCTTTAAATGGAGTTGCTAAAGTTTGTTTTGATTTTCAATTTCACAGGTGAATTTTATATTAGGGTGTTGAAAGTTTAAGTGGTTAAGGAATTTGTTAATGTGTTTATGATTCTGGAAGAGTGAGAATATATCATTTTCATACATTTTGTAGAGTGTGGGTTTAACAACAGAAAGACAATTGTTCAGTCACATGTGCTCATGGTGACAAAGAAGGATACTTGCTAGCGAGGGTCCTATTAGTGAACCCATTGCAACACCATCTATCTGGTCATACAACTAACCAGTAATGACATGTTGGTTTTCTTTTAGATCTAGGTTTAGTAGTTGCAAAAGTTGCTGTTTGTTTAATATAGCCCTCAGACTATCATTACTGGTAATAGTTTAAAATAGATTTGTATGGTTTCTTCTAAAGGAAAGCTAGTAAAGAGAGATACAGTATCAAAGCTTGCCATTATATATTGGTAAGCATCCAGGAATTGAGAGATTTCATGAGCAAAAGAAAAGGAATTTGACATATGCATTTGTTGTTCGAGGGTTTAAGATATGAACTAGGAATTTAGCAAGCTTGTAGGTATAGGTGTCTATTGGAAAAGATAGGTCTGAGTGGGGAATTGTGTTTTTGAATTTTGGGAAGGCCAAACATTCAAGGAGAGGAGCTTAAAGAATAAATTTCAGTGAAAGTGTTAATAGAGGTAATTGTTTGTTTTCTTAAATTTTGAAGAACAAGTTGCAGCTTTTTTTTCATGTTGAATGATTAAGTAGGTTTGTATTCAATAGTTTAAAGTTATTGGGGTATTGTAGGATTTGTTAAATTTTTTATTGTAAACCCATTTGTTTAGGATTACAACTCTAGTATTTTTATCAGGTTAGACAAAAATAATATCTCTTTATTTCCAGCTAGTTCTTTTAGAGCTAAGAAAGAGGAGGAGTCCTGGTTGAGTTAGTTTTAAAAAGATAAGATGTTTTTTTTATTTTAGTTTTAATAATGTAATCAATATCAAGAGTGCTACCGCTTTTAAAGGCAGATTGGGATTTTAACATTTTGTAAGTAATCGAAAAAGGGTGAAGGTAATCACTAAATGCTAACTTAAGTGGTGCCAAGCAGAAGTTTAGGCCTTTAGTTAGAGCATTTTTACAGATTTCAATGAGTTCAACATCACTATAGTTAAAAATTAATTGGTTTGGGTGTAGAAATTCAGGACAATTGGAGGGAAATAGCATTTTCTACAAGGTTTTTTTAATAAAGTATTTTTAGCAAAGATTTGTCCATGCACATGTCGAGTAGTTTTATTGTCTAGTCCGAGTGCAAAAATTCGTCCAAAAATTATCAAGTTTTATTT